AAAAGTATGAGAAACATTTAATTAGATTAGATCTTCTTTGTCATTTATTGGTTATAATTTCTTAAGTTTTAGTTCATTTTTTTAAAATAAAAAATAAAGAATGTCTAAGAATAAATCACTGTTACCTTTTGTTCTCCACCAGGGAGAAAGTGAAACTTTTTCACAATCTGATAAAATGATCTCTGATATTAGTCTGTGAAAGTGTTTTGAAATAATGTAAATCTTACAGTACAAAATGACAACTAAAACATGGCCTGACTATTTTCAATGAAGGACTAAAACAACCTCAGAGGGAATTCTCTTCCTCCTGTATCACAGTTGTACAAATGACCGTTTTCAGTATCCAGTGTTTGCTTTAAAGCACTGCAGTCAGATTTAGACAAGAAGGGTTTTATCCTACAGGTTAGACATTATACCGAGTCAGTAACGTGCTCCGCATTAAACTGAAAAAGGCATTTCTATGACTTACCTCTTCAGCACCTGGTCAGGAGAACCCAGGCCAAGACCAAGGCTAACATCACCTCCACAATATGAATGAAAATGTCTGTTTTCTGCACCATGACGTTCTGCCAAACACTCACCAAGCCTTAGACAGTATCTGTGAAATATTACAGAAATATTTCTTTTTTTTTTGTTCTCGTTGGTGATTAACTTTCCCTTAGTGTTTCACAAAAAAGTATAGATGAAGGGTGTGACATTTTTCACAGTGAATATGCTAACCTGCTGTTAGCAACCAAACAAGCTGGGTCAGATTTCACCATCGCTGTTTACTTTTTGAACACTAACGTAGCTTGAAACATAGGAGGATCATGGCTGGGATCAAATGTGTCGTGTTTTTGATGGTCCTGATTTTCCAGTGGACTCAAGCAAGAGGAGGTGAGTGAGATGTTCTCTACACATGCTACCTTATTCCAGTATATTCCAGTATAAATCATGGACATGTGGTTTAGAAAACCAAACAACTCAGCGACTCTGAGTCAAACTTAAAAGCTCTCAGGGCAAAACTCTCAGATCTAAATCTCAGAAATTATTGGTGTGTAGAGAAACCTGTTTTTTGTTTTCTTCTTTTTTTTATCATCATTATTCAGTGAAGTAGGAATATGGTTTACACAATATTTGACTGTACATTAGTGAGATTTAATTAAACATACACAGAAGCAAAATAGAAATAAAAAAAGTGACTTTAATTGTGTGAAGTTTATAATTAAAAGAAAACTGTAGTATGCATAACTGTCTGTAAGATTATAGAGTCAAACTGTGACTGTAAGATATCCTAATGAATTGTGGTTTACATGAAGTAAATCTGTTCTTAAACTTTAGAGACCTTTAAAGGATTGTAAGAAAACCTGTTAGGATGGATTCCTGCATATCGCTAAAAATAAAACCTTGGAATATTTTCTTGTTGACGAGTCAGCAAACAGCTGTCACTGTCTGAGATTTGAAATCTCTGACAACATACTTCACAGTGTTGTGTCTTCTTTCTTCAAAGATGTCTTTTTTTCATTTTCATGTTTCTTTGCATGACTTTATTTAAAATATGTTATTATGTCTCAATCTGGAGCCTTTAAAACATGCATGTGTGATGTATCAGGTATGTTTGTTTGTCATTAATCAAAATCATGTAAAATTAAAAAGTACTTTGTGATTCCTTTAGCTTTACATTAATCTAACAATAGTAACAATAACACCATTAGACACTATTGTACCAGATATAACTTAAATTTGCTGTTAATACCACTGCAAATACGTTACCGTTTTCTTACCTTACCTTAACTTTTTTCATTTGACATCCTCCACAGAAAAACTCATTTCCACTTTACACTATGTATGATGAGAGATAGCCTTTATTTGTCAGTTGCAGGTCTTTTGCCCACAACCGAGATGACAGACCTTGCCGACCGTACATACAATACAAACATCACATTGTGGGGAGACAGGTCAGGCTAGGTAGCGAAGAAAAAAACAAAAGAAACAAAATGTGTAACACAAAAGGATAATACAGGAATGCACAGATATCAACACACCATAGCACAATAAACACAGACAAGCAACATGGGAAAGAGTTCCAGTGTGTACATCTGATCTGGGACCGCTACAATCTTTCGACTGCGCCTCCAGCTGACCCGATGTCCACATCATGGGGGAGGTAAGCGTTGGAGGTGGCGTTGGATCCGGGGTAGGGAGGGTGATGCGTCAGTGAGTGCTTATCAGTATCAGTATATGTATGTGTGTGCGTGTCCATAGTTCAGCTGAGACAGTGTCCTTCGCCCTGCCAGGCTAAGTAAACAGTCTTCCAGCCAACCCTGGTGGCCTTGCATGGAATGGGAAGGAACAGACTAAACACAGTCGTTATCAGGGTGTTGTTGTTCGGCTCCAGCCTGGAGCTGGCGCCGAAGGGGTAGCTGGGTTTTGATGGTAATTGAGAATTTCAAGCTGTTTTTTAACACTCCGACACTGGTCTCTCAGTCTCCCGTTAATAGCTGCGAGCTTCTCCGGGATGTTATTAGCCGTCGATTCTGTGGTCTTGTCACTCTTTTTGCTCACATAGCAGATTCTGAGACCTCACAACCGCAGCCAACTGATCCGTATGAACACCCCAGTTGCCCTGTGGGTGGTCTTTAACCTTTCAGTCCTCTACCAGAGCATATACAGTAGTGAAAAAGTGTTTGCCCCCTTCCTGATTTGCTAGTATTTTGCGTATCACACTTACATGTTTCATCAAGCAAATCTTGATATTAGACAAAGATCCAGGAGGTCACAAAAGAACCCAGAACAACTTTAAAGAACAGCAGGCGTCAGTAATCTCAGTCAATGTCAGAGTTTTTGATTCAACAATGAGAAAGAGACTGGGCAAAATAACATACACTATCTCTCAAAAGTGAGCACACCCTCCTCACATTTTTGTAAATATTTTATTCTATCTTTTCATGGGACAATAATGAAGATATGACACTTTAATACAATGTAAAGTAGTCAGTGTACAGCTTGTATAACAGTGCAAATTTCTCAAAATAACTCAACATACAGCCATTAATGTCTAAACCGCTGGTAACCAAAGTGAGTACACCCCTAAGTGACCAAATTATTCCCATTTAGCTATTTTACCTCCCTGGTGTCATGTGACACGTTAGTTTACAAGGTCTCAGGTGTAAATCGGGGACAGGTGTGTTGAATTTGGTGTAATTGCTCTCACACTCTCTCAGACTGGCCACTGGAAGTTTAACCTGACACATCATAGCAAAGAATGCACTGAGGATCTGAAAAAAAGAATTGAATCTCTGCATAAAGAGGCCTAGGCTAAAAGCATGTTGCCAACACCCTGAAACTGAGCTGCGGCACAGCAGCCAAGACTGTACAGAGGTTTAACAGGACAGACTCCACTCAGGACAAACCTCATCATGGTTGATCAAAGAAGCTGAAAAAAAAAGTGACTTCTAGTAAGCTGAACTTTTTTGATGTCTATCTTCTGGTTGTTTCAGATACTGAAGTGTCCTGTGTTTATATGGAGAACTGCACATTGCCATGCAGCTATGAGGGTGCTGATGTAGTCATTCACTGGCATCAGGTGTCAGCAGGAAATCTTCCCGTTCACTCATTCTTCCACAATCAAGACCAGCCAGGAAACTCGGCCCAGCGCTTCAAAGGCAGAGCATCAACCTTCAAGGACCAGATCTCCAGAGGAAACGCCTCAGTCCTGCTGACAGGAGTGAAGCCTCAGGATGAGGGCAGATATAGATGCTACACCAGCACCATCAATGGAAACATGGAGTCATTTATCAACCTAAAGGCAGATGGTATGAGACAAAAAAGATACATTTATTTAGTAATTCAGTTTTAAGTTGTTATACTTATTTGTCTATTCTGTTTTCCACTGAATAAAGTTTTACATTTGTAACTCTGTGTTATGATTAGAAAGCAAGAGTGTAAAGTTATTTACTGTGTTAGTGGTCAACAGTAGTCGTATATATGTAGATAACATACCTGACCAGGAGATGTAAACCTTATTCACACACTACAAAAACTCTAAATAGCTGTGAGTATGTGAAATGTTCAAACTAAGAACAGTAAAGAGATTTCTATTCAAAAAACATGAAACACAATATTTATTAGAGTTTGTAGCCAGTTACTAGTCTCAACATGGAAAGATGTTCTGCTTCCAATAGTTCATTAACTATATTATTTCACTATATTACTTCATTCTGTACAAATACCTGTCCCTCCCTTTTAAACTGCTTTAGTCCAAATCCCTCCATAACGTTAGCAAAAGAATACAATTTTCTTTTCCTTTCTTGAAGCTCCAGTCCATAAAGTCGACGTTTACCAGGGAGAAAACGGGATCACCTGCAGGTCAGAGGGGATCTATCCAAAGCCTGAACTCACCTGGTCCACCAGCCCTCCATCCAGTCTGACTTTCAAAAACACCACCACAGTCAACCAGACTGAACAGCAGCTTTACAACATCAGCAGCTCTCTGATCCTTTCAGGCAGTGATCACGATCTGAACTTCAGCTGCACCGTCAGCACTCGCAGAAACAGGAAGAGTGTAGCTTTTCTGAAAATGCGTAAGCAGTGATGAATGCAACTAATGCTTTAAGTGGAAATTTGTTATTAAACAGATTCAGTTTTTCAGTTGAAGATCACTGAAAAATGATAATTCATATGTACAGTAAATCTGCATAATTTTTAGATTGGAAAGTTTCATAATGTGCTTTCATAAATATAAATTTTGTGTGTTTTGTAATAATATTTCAGCTTCTCAAGATGTTCTTGAGTATGAGAACACAATCCCATGCAGTCCATCAAACATTACACTCTCAAATCTCATTTGGAGATTCAACCACAGTCAGCTCATCCTGAATGGGACTGTCACAAACTACACAGTCTCAGAGAAATGGAAGCAGCATGTGAAGAAGCTTTCAGAGTCAGGCAGCCTCACACTACAGGACATATCTGCAGATCAGGAGGGAATCTACACATGTGAAGTGAATGATGCTGAAGAGACAACAATAAGTCTCAGATCTGTGATGATTCATAAAGGTAAGGTAGCTTTTTCTCACACTTAAATGGTT